TAAAAGTATTTTATTAATTAATTCATTAATTTGAATATAGTTTTAAAAGTATTATTATTAATTAATTGTATATAATTTTAAAAAAAATCAAAATTTTTAATATAGGCTTAAGAATTAGCAAAAAATTAAAAACTTAAACCTAGAAATACCAGGTTTTAATAGTTAATATAGTTGAAACCTAAGAATTAGAAAAAAATTAAAAACTAGAACCCAAGCAACGCCGGGTTCTATGTGCTAGTAATAATATTATATTATGATAATAGTGTGTTTATAGTTTTTAATAATCATAGATAATTATAAGACTAAGTTTGTATAATTAATTTACAACTTTGCTTAAATTGTTTTCTTTAACCAGATTAGATGATTTAACAAATTCCTATGCTTACAAATTGTTTTCTTTGACCGGGTTAAATGATTCAATAAATTTCTACACTTATAAATTGGTTTCTTTGACCGGGTTGGATAATTCAAAAAATTTCTTTGCTTGAATTATTTTCTTTGACCAGGTTAGATGATTTAACAAATTTCTTTGCTTGAATTGTTTTCTTTGACCAGGTTAGATGATTTAACAAATTTCTTTGCTTGAATTGTTTTCTTTGACCGGGTTAGATGATTCAACAAATTCCTATGCTTACAAATTGTATTTTTTGACTGGGTTAGATGATTCAATAAATCTCTACACTTATAAATTGTTTTCTTTGACTAGGTTAGATGATTCAACAAATTCCTTTGCTTGAATTGTTTTTTTTGACCGGGTTAGATGATTCAACAAATTCTTACGCTTACAAATTGTTTTCTTTGACCGAGTTAGATGATTCAACAAATTTCTACACTTACAAATTGTTTTTTTTGACTGGGTTTGATGATTCAATAAATCCCTACACTTATAAATTGTTTTCTTGACCGGGTTAGATAATTCAATAAAACCCTACTATAAATTGTTTTCTTTGACCAGGTTAGATGATTCAACAAATTTCTATGCTTACAAATTGGTTTTTTTGACCAGGTTAGATGATTCAATAAATCCCTATACTTATAAATTGTTTTCTTTGACTGGGTTAGATGATTCAACAAATTTCTGTGCTTATAAATTGTTTTCTTTGACCGGGTTAAATGATTCAACAAATTCCTACGCTTACAAATTGGTTTCTTTGACTGGGTTAGATGATTCAATAAATCCCTATACTTATAAATTGTTTTCTTTGACCAGGTTAGATGATTCAACAAATTCTTACACTTACAAATTGTTTTCTTTGACTGGGTTAGATGATTCAACAAATTCTTATGCTTACAAATTGTTTTCTTTGACCAGGGTTAGATGATTCAACAAATTTCTATGCTTATAAATTGGTTTCTTTGACCGGGTTAGATGATTCAATAAATCCCTATGCTTAAATTGTTTTCTTTGACCAGATTAGATGATTAAACAAATTCCTACACTTACAAATTGTTTTCTTTGACCAGGTTAGATGATTCAACAAATTCCTACATTTATAAATTGTTCTTTATTAACCGGGTTAGATAATTCAATAAATCCCTATGCTTATAAAAAAGTGGCACTATAGCTTTATAAATTATGCTAAGAGAAACCCAAAAATTATATTTTTATCTGTGTAAATGCACTGGTTCAAAAATATGTATAATTATTTGATTTTCCTAGTTTATACTTTTATTTGAAATGATTATTCTGTGATCCTTCGGATCAAGAGATAATAATTTTACTTGCTAAACAACCTTATCGATATTATTTCTACCCATCAATAAAATTAATGAGGGCTCGATTTAATAGAAAGTATTATGTAAAATGTTAACAAAAAATATTAGCTTGTGATAAAAAAATTGCTACATTTAAGGGATTAAAGCAACATTATATAATTTTTAAATTATTTGATCACAAAATCGTTTACATGCTTATGATTTTTTATGCATTGTGTAATTGCTATTATGCAGTAAATATTCTTAATATATCCGACTTTCCACGTGTAGGAATATCAAGTGATAGTGTAATAGAGTTCATATTTTTGATTTTATCTAGAACTTTTTTATATGAACTAAACTCATATTGGGCTTTTTTGTGAGTGTGAGTAACATGTAACTTGAAAGCTGCTTGGACAAATCTTTTTAGTGCATCTCAAGTCATCTCTGCAAATTCTAATTCCCTTGCACATACAAGATACCTTTTCAGAATCTTTTTTGTAATATTGTAATCAATATATCTACTTAATGCATTTTCATCCAGGGCATCCTTATCGCAATTGCTGCAAATAAATAAATATCAATATAATTTAATGAATTATTGCATATAATAAAAATGGGTGTAGTTTCAAGAAGAGTGAACCCAGTAATATCTTCGTGGTAATCACATTACAGGATTAAACACTCAGCCTAAGTTAGGATTAGTGTTAGGGTTAGGTGATAGTATTTTTTAGGCCAAATTCATTAGTGCTAGTAAACAAATGATATCATTCCATGATTTCACATAATGTGATTATTCTGGGTTCATTCTTCTTTAAGTGTCCCTAAAAATGGTTTGCCTAAAATTTTCAGGATACTCACATGCGATATTCTTGAGGTCTTTATTAAAAACATGCTGAAAATTATTAAACATTGACCTGGATTTCTCGAGAAGTTGCTGAAAATCATCATCTGCAAGTTTAAAACTTGGCAATGTTGCAACCACCAACTTGCCAAATGCTACTTGTGATGGGTTCCGAGTTCGAAGAAATAGACATTTTAATTCTTCAAGCTATATTCGGAGCCTTATCTAAATAGTAGATAAAATAATCTGTTAGAATGTATAATTTGTTTTATAGCTGCATGTCTAGAAATTGCTATTTTAGGAGTGACAAAGTAATGATACAAAAACTTAGCAGTATCATAATTTCCAAGCCTAATCAGAATAAAAATCACTTCGTCTAGCTATTGAAATCTATTTCTCAATAGTTCAACAAAGTTATTTTCCATTCTGATTGAGCTTGGAGATTATAATACTGTACTATTACTCTGTCACCTATTTTAAATATGATTGTGTGCATTATGCAAAAAACTACTATTACTATATATACCTATAAAGTCGATTCCTTGATTGACTGTGGTTCTGGATTTGGTAATGATGTTGATTGTTCTCTGAATGGAAACTCTTGAGATGTAGAAGGTTGATCCCACCTTTGTTGTTTACTTTGATATGTCATATTGGCTATATGAAAAATTTCAGGACGATCTGCAACTTTTGTTGCTATCTCGAATACTGTTGCATCTAGAGTCAAGTGAGAAAACTAAAATTAGTAAAAGAATGATAATAATTACTAATTATAATAATTATTACCTGAAGCAAATAGCTGATTTACAGAATAATTATCTTCATCGGCATCTAAAAACATAGTTATATGCTCTTTATATAAACCAAAGTTAAATCTAATAGATTTAAATTCATAGTCTAGTGCGAAAAAACTATGATTTGTATATTGTGGTTTACCTAACATGCCACTATTGGTTTCTGAAATTGAAGTGCTGCTAGTTCAAGAAGAAAAGTTGTGAACTTGTTCTCTCAAATTGGTTGTGGTTATATTTCGACCTTCCATAGTAGCTATATTTTGACCTTCTGTAGTAGCTATATTTTGACCTTCCATAGTACGACCTTCCATAGTAGCTATATTTTAACCTTCCATAGTAGCTATATTTTGACCTTTTATAGTAGCTATATTTTGATCTTCCATAGTAGCTATATTTCGACCTTCTGTAGTAGCTATATTTTGACCTTCCGTAGTATAACCTTCTGTAGTAGCTATATTTTGACTTTCCATAGTAGCTATATTTTGACCTTCTATAGTAGCTATATTTTGACCTTCCGTAGTATGACCTTCCATAGTAGCTATATTTTGACCTTCCATAGTAGCTATATTTTGACCTTCCATAGTAGCTATATTTTGATCTTCTGTAGTAGCTATATTTTGACAGTCCGTAGTAGCTATATCTTGACCTTCCGTAGTAGCTATATTTTGATCTTCCATAGTAGCTACATTTTGAGCTTTTGAAGGAGCTACACTTTGAGTTTTCGTAGTAGCTACATTTTGAGCTTCAGAAGGAGAGTTACAAGCTTGTTGGTTAGAGAGAATTTGTGCGGTGCTTAATAGCTCTTGCAAATCAGTTATAGCTATATTTTGACTTTACATCATTTTTTAGATTAGTTTTATTTATTGATTTATTTTATCACATCATTTTTTATTTATTATTAATTTATTTTATTTAAATAGTTAAATTGTACTGTACTGTACCTTTCTTTGCTAGCAAGACGTTTTGATCTACATTCAGCACTAACATTTGGAGATCGACCTAAAATTTATCCATTAGTGCTTTAAAGATTTAATAAATATTGATCCTCTGTACCTTGTTTTGTCTGGGCTGCCTTTTTAGTTCTAACGATCAGACTTCTTTTTGGCATTTTAAAATTCTTTGTATGTGCACAAATATAGAGATATATAAATCTATTGAAGAGACAAAAATGTTATTATATTCATTAACAAACCAGTCCATTTCTATTTATAATTTAATGACAACATTGCTTTCAACTTCACTCAGCATTGTATATATTTTTTTATTATTTGGAAAAGAATTGATCTTTTACTAATCACGATTTTTGTCTACTATATACTGAGATAAACTTCGCATGCATAAACTCTATTTTACTGACAAGTATGTATATACGTACTATTTTTTAATCTTAATCACATGTTCAAAATTAGTGGTATTGAAACCGAGCAACTGACAATGCTATATAATGACAGATAATCCGCTATGATCAAATCAATCATGCAAAAGATTAGAATTGGGAAATTACATAATTAGACTAATGAGTTTAGATAGTTAACTAAGCATTTGGGTCAATCCGGAACGTTATAAGTATTCAGAACTTTGATAATTCGTTAGACTATATTCTTAAGTAGATACTCTGCCCTTAATTATAGTTCTTGTTCAAAGGTCCAAAAATTCTATTTTTAACTTAATTATTAAAATTAAGTGCAAGATCAGGTGTAACGTAACAATCAGCTCTTTTTTGAAAAGTTACATGTATCGCAAAAACTGTCTAAGAAATCACTTTTTATGCACTAACAAAAAAATTTCTAGCAAAAATTTAGCATAATTCTGTCTATTAACTCTAACCCCTAACCCTAGCCAAGATATCACATTTTAAACAGAAAGTGACATGTATAGTGATGCGAATAATCAAAACTGGAGTGAAATTAGTAAAATTGTTACACTGATGCATAACATGCGATTAAATAAATAGCGTAATAACAAAGCCTAGCACTTTGTGAAGAATATAGGGTTAGAGGTACTGAAGATATAGAGAAAAAGGGTCATGTTAGTTGTCACGTGAATGACAGTAAGAATAACAATCAAAAGTCAAATTAAACTATACAAAACAATATTAACATAAAATTAAACTTAACTATAGCGTCATTATTGCAATGACAATAACATAATGTAATTGTATAGCATGTAAATATAAATAAGAAATGTAAAATAAAAGAAGAGAGTTAGTTTAGAATCTTACATATAAAGAAAGCAGAACCTGAATAAAGAGAATAATACTTAATTTGATAGTAATCATATTTGCTGATATAAAATAAAAATAATATATCAGCGAGTGTTCGACAAACCCATATTTAGTTAGATTTTGGTGCTAAATTAGTAGTATCACTAAACCCCGTGACATTAGTATATACAGTTATAAAATGTGAAAAAAATTTGAAGGCTTATCATAAGAAGAGATTAGTTCGATCAAACTCTACATGACACACATAATCGGGATCGAGAACAAAATTCAGGGTTGTGATACGTAAATTAATTATGAAAGCTTATCATTATGGTAATGCATAAAATATATTATAATAAGGTAAAAGAAAAAGTGACATGATTAGAAATTAGCAAAATATAAGGTAATTAGTATAAATGACAATATTATATAAAAATAAATAAATTAACAAATGCATTTGTCAAAACTAATAACCCGCTTAAAAAGTAAGGGTCGACAATTTCTAGTGAGCATGAATTATAGCTTTGTATCTCAGCCTAATTATTTAACAAAGCACTTACCTAAAGAAGCTATTGTGCGGCTAATAATTTCTTCTTGTTTGCTTTACCTTTTGAACTATAATTAGTAGCAACACTATTATTAATCCTGTGTTAATAAGATTGATTAAATAAGAAAACCTTTCTTCTAATTAGCACCAAAACATAGAAAGTGTAAAATTGTATAAATGGAAATCTCTACTCTACGCCTGCAAAACAGAAAACAAAATAGTAACAATCCACATTTAAATTTTCACAAATCTAAATCACATAATTCCAGTACTGCTAAATCAGAAGCAAATGCAACTACTAGCAATGTTTTATCTAATATTATTTCAAATAAAGATAAAGCTGAAAACCAGCATTTTTCCAATGATCTTCAAGAAGATGATCCTCAAAAGGACGGTGATTCTTATTTTTTTGACCTGCAAGGCTTTGACGAGTCTGATGACCAAGATGATTATCAGTCTGATAGTAATTACTCTGATCAGCAAGTTTTTGATGATTCCAGTGATCTATTTGAAGAAGAGAACGAGTTTACAGATGAAATTAAAGCTGCAAACTTTATATTTGAAAAACCAGCAAGTCAGCTTCCACAAAATCTTGAAAATACATTTAGTCCATATTTTGCGAATTTTACTGAGATGTCTTTGTTTACTTGGGTAACAAAGCACTCTATTTGTAAGCAAAAAAACAATATAAAATTTTTTTTTATCGTAATTGTATTTATTTTTACTAACTCTTTACTACTAGAGACTGTGGTATATCAGGAACTTGTGACAATTATTTTAAATGACCAATTTAATCTTCTTGATATGCTACGGAATGTACGTATGCTAAGACAACATCGATTAAGACTACCTAGTCTTCCAATCTGTCAGCATAAAGTCTGAATTAATAATTACAAAACACCTTCTACATCACTACTAGTCAAAAATGCATACACTTTATTTATAATTGATATTATACAACAAGTTCTAAAAAACCCTATACTGTTTTCAAAAATGTATTTTGGTCACAGAATCGAGAGTGAGGATAGAACAGAATTTTGGCATGGAACAATTTGGGCAGAGTTACCTTTATTTAATGATGATACTTTAAATATTACATTTCTAGGTATTTTGCAAGTCTTTTGTAATTTGCTTTATTTTCTTTTATTTATTGTAAATTCTTGAAATAGCGATCAGTAATATAAATTGGATTGGCACAGTAAATGCAGTATATATAAGTTTAATTTTGCGCATATATCGGGCTCTCCGTATATATATAATGCATATAAATTCTTTTTTGTTTTCGTTTGCATCAATGAAACTATTTTGAATTTATATTACTGATGGCAAGCATGATATTATTTCGAATTTTGTCCTTACTTCAGACCAAGATTTGAAATAATACCCATGCTTGCTATTTTAAGAATTTACAGTATTTTTTTAATATTCAAAGTTTAAATAAACCTATTTTTGTATTTATGTTTTTTAGATCAAGTCATATCAACCTATTATACAGGCGATTTTATAATCTATGTAGACCAGCAAAGTCACATGCAGATTGGTTTTCTGTGATCATTTGTTCAAGTAAAAAGAAATCCAAAAGTAAAATTACAACAATTATAGGAGTATTCTATGGTACATACTCAATTTCGTTCAGCTGAACGATATTCTAAATCGCAAGGTGGATATTTATAGCTAGCTAATGAACAATATGTAATAATGCCAGCTACAAGGATTCAAAGTCAAGTAAAGGTTTGGCTTATGGATCAACCAAGACCAGAAGAACAGAAATACTTTGTAGACAAAATTGTATATTATTATAATCAATCATGAAAGGTTCGTCCAATACAATATTGGCACTGATATCCAAGTGAAACTATGACCTTGCCTCCAATACCATCTGGACTTCATTGTTTGCGAATTTTTATTGATCTATACTATGATGATTTTGGGACCTTTCGAAATGTCTACCAGAGTATATGTTCAGTTTGAAAATATGTTATTTTGTTTAAGAAAGTTACTAAAAAACTATTATCCCATAGGATTTGTGCTATTTGGTGCTAAATTTGAAGATTTTATAAAGCTATTTATAGCAGACATTCAAAAGCTACAAAATGGCATTCAAATGACTTTATATAATAAAAAGGAAGTTTATGTTAGAGGTGGTTTAGGTGTAGTAACTGCTAATCTTCCACAGGGTAATGATCTCTGTGGAGTTAAGCGTCATGGTGCCAACCGTGGGTGCAAAAGTTGTCAGGCTGAAACAAAAAAATTAACTGATTGCAATTACGATATCACATGATACTCTCATTATCACCATATTACTAATACGCAATTTTCTGAAATACAATTACAAGAAAACATTTCAAAAAAAAAAACTTGCTTCAGAGTATGGCTTGTATTTAAAAAAAACATTTTAGACTTGTTATACTGTGATCGATATTAGCAATATCCCCAAAACCTTTATCATGCAATGGCTAAAAAGGCAAAACAACCAATGAAGTGCACTTTATCACTTTTTAATAATGAAGGCAATGAGGAATTTTTGAAAATATGGAAATCAATAGAATTGCCTAGGTTTTGGTCCAAGTTACCAAATCCTATAACTTACCAAAAAAGTTTTATGATGTCAGATTCATTACGTCTTGCAATGTTAATGCCTCAAATTCTGCACCGCTTTTTAAAAATTCAACATATAAAAGAAGTTATGCTTTCTGATCTTTGGAGCATAATAGAGTGTCGGCGTAGAGACCAGGTAACTGATGTGATCATTAAGTGTTGGGTAGCACTTTCTTTTTCTATAAAACAGACATTTGTTATCACATTTCCCAAAGAAGATTATTTGGAAATGCTGTCCAAAGTATTGCAAAAAGAGTATGACTATTTGATAAAGGTACTTATTGAAACATTTATTATTATTTAAAGCCTTATTATTTATTGGTCTGTTATAAAGATTGAAATCAGTTTAGTTGACTACTACATATGCTTAGTCAATTAATTAATTAATTAAGCATACATAGTAGTCAACTAAACTGATTTTAATTTCTAATCTGATAATAACTATTTTTAGATATTCCCAGAATCTTTTCTTCATCTTCCAAACCTTCATGTCAATATGCATCTAATTGCAAATGCCAAGAATTATAGAACTTTGGTTAATACTGCTTGTGGTGTCAAAGAGGCTATGCATGGTTTATTTAAAGCTTTTGTTCCACATACAAACAAAAAGAAAATTAATTTTGATCTTTTAAGGCATTACAACACACTTCAAGCATTGCACTTTTGGCTTGATGGTGGGCAAGATAAACATGTCCTGAACTCAGATTATTCAAATCATTTTTTGCTAAAACCATTGCTTTCAGAATGGTATATTGCAAAATCATCTGACCCAATTGATAATTTGGAATTTAAGATAATAAAGCAAATGGTATTTCTATTTATTAAAGTATTTTATACAGTATCTGTATTACAGAATATAAATTTACTTTTATAATTTTTTACAGACATGATTTTTTGCAATGATAGCCATTTTGTAAAAATCCATACTCGAAAACCTTGGAAAAATAAGGAGATTCGAGAGAGAGGCTTTGGTGGTTGGAACCTTAATACAGATAATAATAGCTTTTACTTAGACCTATACAAGGCCTATTGTGAAGAATTTAATATGTTTGCTGCCTTAAATACATACAAGGTTGCATTTTTTGACTATATTAGTTATGTTGTTATAGAAGATAATAATGATTTTTTAGAACATAATAGAGTTAATTCTCAGATTAAAGTTCGAATAGGTGATATAGTTAACTTAAAAGAAATCAGCGATCCTGATAATAACTCATTTGCTTTAGTCAAAGCAATTATCACACATCAAGCAAATAATGACAAAGTTTATGTCTTCTTTATTTTTGATTGGTTTGAAGATTTGAAAAAAACTCATCCAATATTGGAATGCACACAATTTTGACTTCAACATGAAACTAATAATCAATAGCGACATATTTTTACTATCTCAATGGTTGATCATCAGCAGCAATGCCATTTTTTGCATAATTGCGAACATACTTGTAATGGTTCACAACATGATCAAAACAATAGAAATTATTTGCGTAATGATTTTTACTTTAAAGCAATTTAATATAAAAGAGCATAGTGGAAGTTTATTTTAATTGGTTGTTAAAATACTCCGGAAAAAATGTAGATCATTCTCTGGATAAAATATCAACTATACCTGGATGAAATTTTATTACTCATGAAACTTTCAAAAAATTAGTCAATACTTTCTAAAGGCATGTATTATAGTCTTATAATATATTAATTAGGGTTCATAACTATTCATATTTCACAATATATACAATATTATTTCATTTCACAATAAGTAAAATATTTATTTTACAACAAATACTCTAAGTTTCACGACACAATATGCTAAATAAAATAACATACACGAATATTTCTAAACACTGCTATATACTATAAAATGTATTTATAAACTACTCATAACCTAAATATAATAAAAAGGTAGAGTTTGAAATATTAGTTTCAAATATGTAGTATTTTTTACTTATAGAAAACAAAGTAGAACTACATAGTTAAGACAACTTTCACTTACTAATTGCTTAGGTCGCCAAAATACCTTCCAACCTTTCAAAACTTTCACTTCTCATTTAGTTTCTCAATCTTTTGCATCCTATTGCATCAGTTGTTAAAAAACAGTATATTTAAAGATAAAAAAAATGATATATTAAGTCATTACGTATTGCAGAAAAAAATTTTATATATCATAACTATCTTTACTTATTAAAGGTACTTTAAAAATTACAATTGACAGTATAAAAAAAAAGATCTTTGCCAATCAAATTTATCCTTAATTTAATCAATTAAAATAAACTTCTACTATGCTATATAAAAGATAAATTTGACCTTATCCCTACGCTTATAAATTTTTCTTTTTAATCTCAACAAATTTCTTTGCTTAAATTGTTTCTTCGACTGGGTAGGTGATTCAACAAATTCCTATACTTACAAACTGTTTCTTTGACTGGGTTGTGTGATTTAACAAATTCCTTTGCTTAAATTGTTTGCTTTGATCCGAGTTGTGTAATTCGACAAATTTCTATGCTTATAAATTTTTCTCTTTGGGTTGGGTTTGGTGATTTAGCAGATTTCTACGCTTCTATTTGACCAGGGTTGGGTGATTTAGTAAATTCCTTCGTTTACAAATTGTTTCTCTGATGAGTAGGTGATTTCAACAAATTTCTTTGCTTAGATTGTTTCTTCAATCAAGTAGGTGATTCAACAAATCCCTATGCTTATAAATTTTTCTCTTTGATCCAAGTTGTGTGATTCAACAAATCTCTATGCTTATAAATTTTTCTCTTTGATCTGAGTTGTGTGATTCAACAGGTTTTTATGCTTCTCTTTGACCGGGTTGAGGTGATTTCAACAGATTCCTTTGCTTAGATTGTTTCTAAATCGGGTAGGTGATTTAACAAATTCCTATACTTATAAATTTTTCTCTTTAATCCGAGTTGTGTGATTCAACAAATCTCTATGCTTATAAATTTTTCTCTTTGATCTGAGTTGTGTGATTCAACAGGTTTTTA